TCGACGACGGCGACGCCGTCGCAAGCGCAGCAGCCACCGCCGCCGCCTCATATGCAATCTCAACCTGTCGGTATGATGCCGCAGAACGCTGCGCTGATTCCGCCGCAGATGCCGCCGCAGTTGCAAACGTCGCCGATACAAAATCCAGCACCCCAGATACAGAATCAAAATGCTCAGGTGTCATCCGCGCATTTGAACGCTCAGCAGATACCCACGGTCAGTCAGACGACCGGGATGGTGCCGCCACCGCCGCCGCCGCATCAAGCCGCTGTACCTGTACCAAATTCGCAAACACCGCATCAGGTATTTTTCTTCTTTTTTTTTTTTTACAATTAATATTCAGAAAACATTACACATCAACGCTTTCTTTTATGATATACATCCGTGATGTAATATTCTACTGTTATATCAATTATTTTTTCGAATAACAGTACCTTCCTGGAGGCGACATGATCACCGGCAACACCATGCCAAATATGTACAGTATGCCGGCTAATCCTGCACCAGCACCCGTTGCGGCGGGTGGCTTCGGCGCACCGCTCACGCATCATCAAGAACGAGCCGCGCTACAACAGCAGTTGCAGGAATTGTTTTGCATGCCACCAGCTCCGGAAAATCAGGAAAAGATAGTTGCCTTGCAGGAGAAGCTGCAGGCATTGCAGCAACATGAGACGACCGAGCAGTGCAACGGCGGTTCGCAGTGCATACTACAGACACCGATGTTTACAGCTGCTGTAGTCGATAGCCCGCAGGTAAAAATAGTCACGAGACTGATCAATTTGTTAGTTACAAAATTGATAATATACTTTACATAGAGAGATTTTACATTTTTTTAACATAAATGAGAAAAAGAATGAGCAAGCGTGTGAACTTGTGTAGCTTGCATTGTCAGAAGAATACAAATGACACAACAATGCTACGAAAACATGCATTTTAAGATAATTATAACACAAAGGTAATAATATCGTTTTTAAATTTTGCTGGATTAAATTTGCAATAAATTTTACGATAATATAAAGAATTTAATATCTCGCAGTTTTTATTCAGACATAAATATAATTAATATGTCCAAAAATAATAAACTTGTCAAAAATCTATAGAATCTATTGATTATTAATGCGAAAAATTTATTCAGCAATCATTAATTACTAATGCTAATAAGTATTATTAACTGAAGAGAGATAATTCATAAAGTGCTATTTGAGTGTGATACGCATAGTGATAACAGATGATAAAATTACAAGTGCTGCGATAATGGCTTTTCTTTAAATCAATTTCGTCAACTCGCGTCGGGAAGAGTCGTATTTATAAATATTGCGTTACTTAGGTGTCGAGTACCACTGGACGCGGTCGCAGCAAAGGCACGCCGCGAGCGAAGAAAAGCCGGAAGAAAGCCGATAAAGAGGCATCCGCGCCAAACACTGCCACTCAACAACCTGAGCAACCCTTGTCGGATAATAAAGTCACTCCAGGCGACAGTAGCAATATCGTGGACAGCGTTGCAGACTCGGAAGATATCAAACCGTCTTCCGGAGACATAGAAGAGGAATGGAACAAAGGCAGAAAGTCACGATCGCCTCGAAAACCGCGCAAGCCGAAGGAACCGAAAGAGCCGAAAGAGCCAAAGCCTAAGAAGGAGCCAAAACCACCGAAGGAGCCAAAATCCCCGAAGGTTGCGAGAAAGAGGAAAGATAAGGATAAGGAGTCCACGAAGCGTAACAGAAAGTGAGTATATTGCGTATAGAAAATACCATACTATTTATGTACATAACAGCGTCGTTAATATACTGCTTTTTTCTAGAAAAACCAATCAATCCGAGGACGCTGACGATGAAATCGTACGTGAAAACGAAGAAACTGCCGTTTCCGATTCCAGTGCTGTCAAGGACACCGAGACCAAGGTCTGCGAATCATCTATTCAGGGTGATCAAGAACAGGTGGACTCTTCCACCAACGAGCCTCTGTCGGGCGAAGTAAAGGAAGAGGGCAAAGAGAAAACGGGAGCGGAGGATGCGCCGGAAGAAGAAAAGAAAGAGGAAAACTCGGAAGCGTCCACGGCGACTGCTGAAAATACGAGCTCCAGTAAGAAAAAGCCCGCGGCTAGAAAACGATCGAGCGCAGGCAAAGTTTCTGGAGGAAAATCTTCCAGAAGTTCCAAGTAAATATAACTTTTTATATTATAATATACATACATATATATATACATATTTCTTAATTTTAATTATGAACAATCGTATATGCGTGTAACTTGATTGCACTTTCTGCAGAAAACGCAAGAGTCGCATCGCGCCAGATTCCGATGGTGAAGAACTGGCGGCGACGCCTCCACCGTCACCGGAAGCCGGTGATGATATGAATAAGCGACGTTCCGCGAGAAACACTCATCGTAAAAAGTACGTGGATGATGTAATGTTACGATTCTCAGACGATGACGTTCCTATACAAGAGGCACAAGTCTCGAAAAAAGTGGAGGGTGCAAACGCTTCGAAGCCCGCAGCCGCTAAAAAGGAGGGCGCCGCTGAGGGCGGCGAGGTCGGACCCAACAAACCGAATTTTGTATACATTGTATGTACCTTTTGAATTGCTAATATTACTTTCAAAATTATTATAATTTCAAATGTACTTTTTTTTCTATTTTGCAGAACACTACCGACGAGGATTCTATGGTTGTGCAACATATTTTATGCTCTCGAATGGGTAAGAGAGAAGTTAAGCCTGTACCACCAAAGGTGGAGGTACCTCCGGAAAAGAATGGAAATGCGGATAAAGAAGAGTCTGCTGACGACAAGAATACAGTCTCTGATAATCCTGTGAAAGAGGAAGATGCAGAAGCTCCCGAGAAGGAAGCAAAGCCCGAAAGTGCGAAAGACGAAGACGAGGACGAGGAAAAGAGTGAAATAGACAATGTGAAAAAGGAGGATGCGAAGAAGCCGGAAGAATCGTCTACGGATTCGAAACAAGCCGAGGCTGCCGTTGTGGAGACAAAGCCACAGTTTATCGAAGTCGAAGAATATTTTGTTAAATATCGAAATTTTTCATACTTGCACTGCGAGTGGAGAACGGAAGAGGAAATGTACAAAGGAGACAAGCGTATTCAGGCTAAACTGAAGAGATTCAAGCAGAAGCAACAACAAAACACTAACATTTTCGAAAATGTACATAATGTTCATTATATTAAGATTCAAATATACAATATAAAGTTACCAGCATTAAAAGTTGATGTGCATTAAAATTTAAAACACGAGTTGCAAATCAAAATTCTTACCTTTTTCTCTGATTCTCAGACTGAGGATGATCCCTTCAATCCAGACTTTGTGGAAGTGGATCGAGTTTTGGACGAAGCAACCCACACAGATCCGACTACCGGGGAAACGGTTCGACATTACTTGGTCAAATGGCGGTCTCTGCAATACGAGGACTCCACTTGGGAATTAGAAGAGGACGTTGATTCCGAAAAAATAGCACAATTTGTCAGATTTAATAAGGTGCCACCCAAGGAGCAGTGGAAGGTATGTGTATGTGTATGTGTATTTTTTTTTAATAGAATTCATACATTTGATATATTCAAGATTGATTTATTTATCTGTTCCAAATAATGTACTCTTTGTGTGATTTCAGCCAAAAAAGAAACCCAATGCTACAGCTTGGGTCAAGTTGGAGGAATCGCCGATTTACAAGAATAACAACAGTTTAAGACCGTATCAATTGGAAGGATTAAATTGGCTGCTGTTTTCTTGGTACAACGGACACAATTGTATTCTTGCCGATGAAATGGGCCTCGGGAAGACAATTCAATCTCTGACGTTCGTCGATGCAGTCTATAAGTATGGAATTCGCGGACCGTTCTTGATTATAGCTCCTTTATCGACCATCCCGAATTGGCAACGAGAATTTGAAAGTTGGACCGACATGAATGTCGTAGTGTATCATGGATCGTGAGTATACTTTCACTACGTACAAATTTAAACACGCGTCTGTACGCGTAAGTGTGGATGAAATTGTTATCGGTACGTTTTTTTCAATTGCAGTGCGGCCAGTCGTACTATGCTCCAAGAATACGAAGTTTATTACAAGAACGAGAAGGGACAACAAATTAAAGATTTGGTCAAATTTAACGTGCTAATTACAACGTTTGAAATCATTATAACCGACTTTAATGAACTACGCGGATACAATTGGCGACTCTGCGTCATAGACGAAGCTCACAGATTAAAGAACCGAAATTGCAAACTGCTCGAAGGGCTGAGACAATTGAATTTGGAGCACAGAGTGCTCTTGTCGGGCACGCCGCTGCAAAATAATGTCAATGAGCTGTTCTCCTTGTTGAATTTTCTCGAGCCGCAACAGTTTGCGAGTAACGAAGCGTTTCTGAAGGAATTTGGTAATCTGAGTAGCGAAGGTGAGGTACAAAAATTACAACTTCTCCTGAAACCGATGATGCTACGTCGCCTAAAGGAGGACGTTGAGAAATCACTGGCGCCGAAGGAGGAAACGGTCGTCGAAGTGGAATTGACAAATATCCAAAAGAAGTATTACCGGGGCATCCTGGAAAGAAACTTTTCGTTTCTCGCGAAAGGCACGACGTCGGCCAACATTCCAAATCTCATGAACACGATGATGGAATTGAGGAAGTGTTGCATCCATCCATTCTTGTTGAACGGCGCCGAGGATCAGATACAGTTGGACTACAAGACCGGGGAGAAAGAAGATTCCGAGGCGTATTATCACGCACTGGTGAACAGCTCCGGCAAGATGGTTCTGATCGATAAGTTACTACCGAAGCTGAAAGCCAGCGGTCATCGAGTATTGATATTCAGTCAAATGGTTAAATGTTTGGATTTGTTGGAAGATTATCTATTGTACAAGAAGTATCCTTATGAAAGAATCGACGGGCGAATTCGCGGGAATCTACGACAGGCAGCTATCGATCGTTACAGCAAACCCGATTCGGATCGCTTTGTCTTCCTGCTCTGCACGAAGGCGGGTGGACTCGGTATCAATTTAACCGCGGCCGATACAGTCATCATTTACGACAGCGACTGGAATCCGCAGAACGACTTACAGGCGCAGGCACGTTGCCACCGAATCGGGCAGCAGAAGATGGTGAAGGTGTACCGTTTGCTGTGCCGCAACACGTACGAGCGTGAGATGTTCGACAAGGCTTCTCTCAAGTTGGGACTCGACAAAGCGATCTTACAATCCATGAACACCAGTCAAGGCGGCAAGGATCCCAGCAATAAACAATTGACGAAGAAGGAAATAGAGGATCTGCTGAAGAAAGGTGCTTACGGCGCCATCATGGACGACGACAATGCCGGCGACAAGTTTTGCGAGGAGGACATTGAGCAAATACTCGAACGTAGAACTCAAATTATCACCATAGAAGCGGAGAAGGGCTCGACGTTCTCGAAGGCGAGCTTCGCGTGCTCGTCGAATCGATCCGACATCAACATCGACGATCCCGACTTTTGGAAGAAGTGGGCGAAGAAGGCGGAAATCGACACGACGGAGAAGAAGGAAGAGGACGAACTGGTGATATCCGAGCCGCGACGGAGAACGCAGATCAAACGTTACGGTCACGACGAGTCGGTGGTCGATATGTCCGAGTTGGACAGCTCGGACGAGAACAGTGACGACGACACGAGCATCGGTCTATCCGGCAGGAGTAAAAAGCGACGCGACAAGTTCGGCAAGAAAACGCGCAAGTTCTACGACGAGTACGTACCGCGCGAAGGTGAGGTGGTGTACGGCAGTTGGGCACGCAGCGAGTGCTTCAAGGTGGAGCGCGGACTGCTTACGTTCGGCTGGGGTCGCTGGGAAGAGATCCTGCAGCACAGCCAATTCCGACGCGGCTGGCGTGAGGTCGACGTTGAGGATTGCGCGCGCGTCATCCTGCTCTACTGTCTGCGCTTCTATCGCGGCGACGAGAAGATCCGCAGCTTCATCTGGGAGCTCATCACGCCGATGGAAAACGGCGAGAAAGTGAAGAGCGTGTCGGTGAACACCGGCGGCGGCGCGAGCGGCGGCGGCGGTGGCGGTAGCAGCAGCAGCAGCAGCAGGAACAGCCGACAGAAGAAAAAGGGCTCTCGCGTCCGAGAGGGCAGAGAAACCCGAGGATCGGTCATCAATGGCGGACCGAGCGACCCTAATCACTGGAGCACCGCAGAGAAGTTTGACGGGGACATCTTTCTCGAGAGCAACTACAGGAAGCATCTTAGTCGACACGCCAACAAGTACATATATAGATTTTCCTCCCCTATTCGCTTTTTTTTCGTGAATTATTCCAAAGCCAGTTTACTTATTTGTTGAAAATTACGTTTAGAACTATTATTCGTTACTTTTTGACACTCGAACACGTCGATGCTTGGCCAAGTCTTGGGATTGATTTACATCGATCGATTCTTGTTTCGCAGAGTACTGTTGCGCGTGCGAATGCTGTATTACATCAAGCACGAGATCATCGGCGACTTGGTCCAGCACATCTCCGACGGCGTTCACGTGAGGTAAGTTTCCATCGCCCTTTTCTTCTCACGCTTTTTCGTGCCACAAATTTGCGGTACTATCATCTATCACGTCAATTCGTGTATTACTCACATATGTGCTTACCACGGAGCTTAGCATAGTTGCATGTGCGATGTATTTGTTGATATCCTGGGAGCTGTACCTGTATGAGGAATGCTCATAGAGCCGAATCTCGTTGACCCATGTAACTCTAGCAAAACGACTACCACACAGTTGGTTTTTTTTTTATCCTCTGCGCTACTAATATAAAAATCGTTTCCCCACATCCTATATGCGCATACGTCTGTGTACGTACACAACATGCAGTACACGCGCGTACGCGAGAGGCATACTCTCGCGTAAAACAGTCGCGCGAGGATGGTGAAACGCTCTACAACGGAGAAGTGGTAAGATGTAGGGACTAGTCGCTAAGCAGTGCACTGTAATCGAAGGGAGAGGCGTGTAGCGTTTGAAATCCTAGTGAGTCGGGACACGAGTTCGTGTCACGACATATTTGTCACAAAAAGGAAAAAATTTTTTTACAAAAAGACATCGGTAATTTTATCGGCTGTGAACGTTTCTTTAGAAATTAATGAACACATTGATCGGCGCGCAAATAAATTGGCAAATTTTTGTAAATCGAAACCGCCCTACAGTGCGTTGCCGATAGACCCTCCACAGTTGACGGAGCGACCGGCGAAATGGTGGGACGCAACGGCAGATAAATCCTTAATAGTCGGCTGCTACAAACACGGCTATGAGAATTACGACCAGATGAGGACTGATCCCGCGCTTTCTTTCATTACAAGCTGTCCTCCCCCTTTCCAGAACTCTCAGAACAAGAGTACCGCCGAGTGAGTATCTTGGTATTTTTTTTCTTTATATTTGTCACACATTTGTTTATCTCTTCTTCATTCTTCTCTCATGCGCTGCCTAACTGTCCTCTAACACATATGCCGCTTGCACCGCTGCTTCACGATACATGTGTGTGTATGTACATACAATACATACGCGCGCGCGCGCGCACTCGCGTGCGCGTTTATGCGATTACAGCTTTTATTTTCAGCGGTAGAATGACCATAATGTTAATGTTCATTTAGCTTCGCTCTCCTAACGACCTAACAACTTTATATCTTTACGCAAAAGTGTTGTTAACACGCAGTCTATGGTACCTATAGCAAAAATTCAGAAGGGAGAGAGTCTAATTCTATTCTTCTTGGACTAGAATTGTTTACACACGGACGACTACGGGATTGAGCTGCTTCTCCCAGCTCTTTGTACGGCCGTTGCATTGATTTTAGATCCGAGAGCCTTTACACATCTTATTGAACAAAAGTAGATACTGTTTTCTTTTTTCTAGTTTTCTCCGTATCACAGAATGTGATAGTTGTACAGAAATATAAATCGGATAATGTCGATTAACCTTTTCATTCCCAAATACAAAAATGCAAATGCATACGATACAAAAATGCAAATAGAGTGGGAACGAAAGGGTTAATATTACTATGTGATGAGAGAGAAAGAGTGTGTGTGTGTGTGTATCTTGTTTGTCTCTTGGGAAGAAAGACATTTGAAATAATTTTTATTCCATCAGCATTAAAAGAATTTCCGAAATTTCAGCAGCAGCAGCAGGGACGATAATAGCCTGGAGAACGACGTGGAAGACGGCGAATCGCCCGGAATGACGAAAGATTCGAAGGATTCTGACAAATTTAGTCGAGAAACACCGGCGGATTCCCCCGCCATCTCGAGTAAGGCGGACACGCCGATACCGGAAGCCAGCGGCAGTCACGACGGAAACGACTGCCTCCTTCCGGACGACGAAAAGACTTGGCCGTCTGTGGTGGATCTTAATACGCGATTGCGGCGCGTAATATCTTCCTACCAGCGGAGCGTTAACAAAAAGGAGGACGTTAAAATCATACCGAAAGGCAAGATGGGAATGGAGGGCGAGACTACGTCCATGAATCACACCGGCATGATGCACGAACCGCCCTTGAATATGCAGGGATGGGACTTGCAGCAATTAGCGATGTATCTCTTGGTTAGTATACACGATAATCCGGTTGTCGCTCGTTCACTTTGTACGAAGAATTTCTCACACCGACCTTGTTTACAGAAGATGGAAAAGAGAGAGAAGATGGAGGCTATAGTGAAGGAACGAGAACGCACTCGTATCGAGGAGCAAAAGGCAAAGTGGACCCGTCGCGAAGAGAGCGAGTTCCTGCGAGTGGTGTCCACGTACGGTGTCAATTACGATAGAAAGAAGGCCCAGTACGACTGGACCAAGTTTAAAAGTATCGCCAGATTCGACAAGAAGACGGACAACGATCTCACGGATTACTACATGTCGTTTAGAGCGATGTGCAAAAAAGTCTGTAACGCCAAGCTGAACGAGGACGAAGGTACGTTGGGTCTTTTTTTCTCATACGATCAAATTACAATTCAATTAGGTTTCTCCGACGTAATTGAATATGCGCGTGAAAAGATTTTGCCGCGTGTCAAGTACTTGACTTTGTTGACGTTGCAGATTTTCCAGATGTTCCGGTGGATCAGCTGAGCCCTGCCAAAGCGAGGCAGATACTCGATCGCGTTGACCTCCTCAGCAAGATTCGCGAAGAGATTCTCTCGCATCCGCATCTCGAGGAGCGACTCTCGTTGTGCCAGCCGTCGGGAGATACGCCGGATTGGTGGCTGCCGGGCAAACACGACAAGGAACTGTTACTCGGAGCCGCGAAGCACGGCCTCGGACGTACCGACATCACGATAATGAACGATCCAGATTTTTCGTTTCACAAGCTTCTCTCGAGGGGAATATACGCGAGCACGCAGACACCTAAAATGGACAAGTCCGAGAAAACGATAAAGATCGAAAATAGAGAGGATATCTTGAAGTTTGACAAAGACGAGATACTCGTCAAACTGGAGAAGGGCGAGGGAACTTTAAAGATTGAAAAAGTTGGAGCGAAAAAGGACAAGGATCAAAGTGCCGACAAGAAGTCTGAAAGTGTGGATTCCGAGAAGAGTCAAGTAGAATTGACTATTGTGAAAACGGAGGCTAAATCGGAGGAAAAATCTGTCGGTAGTTCATTGACAATCACCACCGTCGCGAGAACATCGGACGTCGAACACGTTGTTGTAAAGAGCGAGGAGAAAAGCGAACTGGAGCCAGTTAAATGTGATAGCGCTACCAAAGCCAATCAGACGAGCACAGCCAAGTCGATCGACGAGAAGCCTGTGAAGGAAGCCGGTTTAGAAAGTGCGGAGAGTTCTACCGTTACGGAGGTTGAAAGAGAGGACAAGTCTCAAGAGAAGGATGCCAAACAAGAAATCGAATCCACCGAGAAATCTGAGGAATCGCAATCTCGGCAAGACGCCACGACTGAAACAACGGAGAAAAATGATGCGGAGGTTAAAGAGAAAGTCGAGAATGTCGAAAAGAATGCTGAGCTTACCGAGCCGCCTGTCGAAAATGATAACGACAAAAACACAAAGCCGGACAACGCACCGCTCAAAGAAGAGGTCGAGACACAGGAAGCGAAGAATTCGGACATTACCAAAGAGAAAGCAAAGATATCCCAAATCGAAGACAAGTGCAGTGTCCAGGCTGCGGAACTGAAGGCCATGTTCCCGGATCTAGAAGTGATACAACCGTTGTCGCGGTTAACGCAGATCGACACGTTCGTTTTGCGAGACAAGCCGGTGGATTACAATACAAGCGAGCAGCCAACAGTGGTGCAGCTTTTGGCGCATGGTTGTGGCAATACATCGATAAAATGGCCAAAGGTAAACCACCTTGAATGGTGATTTTTTAAATATTAATTTTAACTCTTGTTACGTAAAGTCATGTGTACAAGACTGGAAGTTTTGCCAAATTTATCAGTCGCATCTCGTTTTTTCAGGAACACGCGATCGAAGCTCGTTTGATGCACATTGTGCACGCAATAGAGCACAAAGAATGGCCGGTTTCAATCAACTTTAGCGCCGGCGAGGAATCGGACATTGCGCAAAACGAGAAGGAATGTTCGGAAGTCATAACGATCACTACGGACCACGGAGTGTCCAGGTCTATGACGAGCGGGAACAACATCTCCGCTTCGAAGAAACGCAAGAGACACATTGCCATCGACGTAGAAACTGAACGAGGTATGAGCTTTTGAAATTTCATCGTGACGCTTTTATATGTCTAATCGTGTCACACATTTTGGTCGAACATATTGTTGTCGCTTTAGTCGCGTCGCATTTACATTTCATCATTTCTCATTGTGCAGCCAAGCTTCACGCGCTTCTCAACAGCAGTCACTTGAGCACACAGTCGCCCGCGCCTCTCAGCAAACCGGTCGTGCTTTCCGGCTCGACCACCTGGGAGATCAATGACGAATCCCAATCCGAGGAATCGCGACGTTCCACGCCGGTCCCGCCCCCGGCGCATCAGCAAGTGCGAACGCCGAGCATACCTTTTGACCTAAAGTACACCGTTCCGGGAAAAACGACCGTTATACCCGGCACATCGAGCACTCTGACGCCTATCGATCTGTCGGCTGGGTAAGACATTGAAATGTGTTGAATCGGCGCGAGTCGGTGCTGCGAATTGAATAACTCAACAGCATTGCAAATGTCTTTTGTGTGGAAATATTACAATCGTTACGCATATTTATCTTCTTTTTTAGATATCCAAAGTCAAGCTCTGACAACAGCAAGGACATTATGAACGAAGTGCAAGACTTTTCTATGCCAAACAAGAATAAACAAGTCAGCAACAAAGGAAAGTTGGACAGTATGCTGGACAAACTCATGAAAAGGAAATCCTGCGTGAGTAATGTTTGGATTTTTCTAATATTATTAATTTTTTACCATTCTACATTTGATAAATTGTAATTTTATTCTTCATCAGCCTACGGAGGAACCAGTGGTCGGGAAGGAGAAGAAGCGCAGGAAGCTGGACGAGATAGTGCTGGGTCTGAGCGCCGCGAAGGAGCAACAAAGCAGCCACTATCCTGAACACAGTAAGAAGAACACAATTACGCCTAACGTTACCGTGACTCCGACTTCGGCGCCGATCGGGCTTCCCAATCCTCCGACGAGCAGTCAGAAACCATTCTCCATCACAGTTACGTCAATTCCATCTTCACGAGCCTCGAGTTCTACCACGACCGTTTTACCACCGCCGTCATTGCACTCGCACAAGGACACCTTCTCCGCCTTGCTGGCTCAGGCCGAACAGCAAAATCGAGAACTGAAGAAACAGCAGCAACAGCATCAGCAGCAGCAGCAGCAGCAGCAGCAGCAGCAGCAGCAACAACAACAACAACAGCAGCAGCAACAGCAGCAGCAGCAGCAGCAGCAGCAGCAGCAGCAGCATCAACAGCAGCAGCAGCAGCAGCAAGCATTCAACTCGGCCCACTCGTCGTCGAGCAGCAGTCATCGAAAGAGTTACGAGGCGATGATCGCGGACATCAACAAAGTCGCCGAGTACTCATCCAAGATCGGCTCGTATTCGCACGAGGCCAAGGTAAATAAATGGTTGGCGGAACAAAGCGCTATATCGGAGCAATTGAGCGCGGACTATCTGAATGCTCCTCGACGACGTAGACCGCGCGTTGATCCATCTCTGCTGGATTGGAAGAAGCTCACCGGTGAAGAAAACGTCGCCGTCATCAATCGATTAACCGGCAAGAAGGTTTGTCGAAACTGCTTTACTTTTACATAAATTTTTTAACGTTTACTTTTTAAAAATTGCTTAAACGGTAAGATTTGTATTGTATTTCACAATTTATTACGATAAGAAAGATGTAACGTTGTTAAATTTATTCTATATGGACACATCATGTTTCCGTTCTTTTTCAGGTTACCGGCAGCAAAGCACCTCAGTTGAAACGACTCGGGCAATGGCTGGCGGACAATCCGATGTTTGACGTCGATCCAAAGTGGGCGGAACTGGTAAAGGAACGCGGTAATCTTCCGCATGATCTTCAGAAGAGACTGCCAGCTAATGAGCGCGGTGGCGTAAACAAGGGCAAGAGTCCGGGCAGACCGCCCATGATGCCCAGTCCTACGAGTCAGTCATCGACGAATTCCGCGAATCTGGCGACCACGTCGATGGCGTCGGGCCTCAACTTCCCGCTTAGCAATCTGAACAACTCTCTGCTCTCAGGTTTGTCGCTGAGCAACTTTGATCCGAAGAACAATCCACTGTTGATGCCATTTAGCGGTTTGTCGAACCTAAGTGCGCTGAGCGGTCTCAGTAATCTAAGCAACATGGGCTTGACGAATTCGTTATTCGCTAATCTGGCTGGATTGGGCTTGCCGACATTGGCGGGCATGGAAGCGGCGTTGAACGCGCAAGCGGCGACTAGCAATGCAGCAGCGGCCGCGGCAGCGGCGGCGGACGCGAACAATCCAGCTGTGAGTTCAGCGGGAGGCGGAAGTGGCGGCAAAAATGGCGGTGGCACGAGCTCTTCATCCGGTATAAGTGGCAACGCCGGAAGTGGTAATGTCGGCGGCACTGGTAGCGGCAGTGGTGGTGGCGGCGGAGGCGGCAGCAGCGGTGGCGGCGGCGGTGGTGGCGGCGGTGGCAATAATAACAGCAGCAAGTCACGCAGCAACAAACTCGATCAACCAACAACGAGCGGCAAATCGTCGTCCAGCGGTCCGTCAACCTCATCCGCTTCGTCCGCGATGAGTCTGCAGACCGCCACGCCGCTCCCGTTCTTCTTCACGAATCCTAGTCTTCTCTACACGCCATTGAGCCTGGGCGGACTGAATCCTTTCTCCATGCAGCCCAGCAGTATGTCGTCGGCCTACGAGAGTCTCGCCCAATGCGGCCTGCTGAATCCACCGACGTCCAGCGCTTCTACAGTGCGAAAATCAGCTTCGTCGAGCGGCTCTTCCTCGAGACAGCGTGAAGCCGTGGGAGAATCATCGACATCATCGTCATCATCGACAAAACGAAAGGAATCTGAAAAGAAGTCATCCAGATATCCGGCCGTGGATCCGGCTGTGACTTTGCAACAATACACGGATTTGGCAGCATTGCACGGCAGCGAAGAGAGACGCCGCGCTGATCAGCAGCAGCAGCAGCAACAGCAGCAGCAGCAACAGCAGCAGCAACAACAGCAGCAGCAGCAGCAACAGCAGCCGCCACCACCACCAGAAAAGAAGGAAACGACGGAGCAAACCGATGTTGTGGCAGCGGCAGATCTGACGGAAAAGAAAACTGAACGGAAGAGCAAGGAGCAGGAAATGAAGGAGGCTCTGGAGCATTTGAGTAGAACCAGCGCGGAATTGGTCACGCGAAACATCGAGGACACTCCGAGAGGTGAAAAGAGAAGCCGCAACAGCACGGACGGCAATCAAAATTCTGACCAGCAGCAACTGTCGACGCCGCCAACATCGCTCGAGGTCACTCTGGAGCCTGTTGCGAAGAAAATGCGTATCGAAACGGACACGAGCTCGAAACCGTCCTCGTCGAGCAACGATGTGCCGACGGTGGAGATTGAGCCGGTGACAAGACCGTTGCCAACAACACCGACGAAAGTGGCCCAGCCACCCTTACCGGAAGAGAGTAACGTTTCACCCGCGGAAACGACCAAGAAAGAAGCGAACGAGACGACAACTTTGGCCGCAAACGCGACGTCGCCGTCGACGCAGCATTCCAGTGTGAAAAGTGATAGTGGTAAATCCGTTGCGTCGGAAGCGGAAGAGGACGGTAAAGGCGGCACCAAGGCGAAGAAAGCGCGTAGCGGTAAGCGGTTGAGTGTGGAACCGCCACCGGAACGCAAGAATCTTCGTTCAAGCGCCGGTAGGCAGGCGCGAGCGGCTGCGGAACGACAGGCGAGAATGGAAGGCGAGATGCAGCACTCCGAACAGCAGCAGCAACAGCAGCAACAGCAAGACAGTCATGTGTCCGGCGAGTGAGACACGAAAATACGTCAAACTGCTATCTCGAAACGATAAAAGACGAAGCCCCAGCGATTGGCGCGGCGTAGCGACATAATAATAATAAAAAAAGAACTGCGTGGACACACGATCATTGTTCACAGTTTTTTTCTTCTATTCCATTGATCGCACAACGAAGATCTGTATGTAGATAATTTTCTGTTTGTCATTCGAGCAAGTGTGAAAGCGCAAAGTGTTGTTTCTCAACAGATTGCTTAAGTACATAATCCATCGAAGGCGGAAAGAAATAGCTACAGACATTGGTGGCGGAATTTACCGTAGCCTTTGGTTCTTCGATTATACGTGAATGTGTATGCACAAAATAGAACTCCTCTATTCCGCAGGAGACGAAATGCGTATTATTATTCGTTGGCGACAGTGTGTGACAGTGCGCCTTTATTGAAAGGAGCTGAAAAGAGAGAGAAATCTCTCAAATACGAAGGCTGCGATAGTATTTTATCACTCGATACTTTACTGTAGTAATTAATTTTTAATTGCGTAATATAATAATAAAGGTATAGTTTTGTTAAATTTATTATCCTATAATATATCTTATTGGTTTTGACCAGGGACTGTTTTATATAAAAAGAGATATATATATATACGATAAGATTGTGTACTCGCTATTATGCATAAAGCAATTTACAGACAAGAAACGCGAAGTGAAGTATAATCGTAATGTAGAAAAAAATGATTACAGTAATAACTTAAATAAAGAAAAATGTAAATATTACGTATACTATGCCTATAGACAGTAAATCGTGTACTTGAAAAAGAAAATGTATATAATAACGCAGTGTACTTTTAATTACATTAGGCAAAACAATAAACAGCTTCTTTTGTTGTTTGCAAATTGCGAGAATTCGAATCTTTTTATTTCATGTAAACCTGGATGGATAAAAAGGAGCCAATCAACATCTCGCTTTGTCTATGGAAAGAGTCGTCTGCTAAATTTAGAGTTGTCAGAATTTGAAAAGTATACAAGTAGGGGAGAACTTGTCTAAATGCATACGGAATATATGTTGGAAAGTTAAACATTATTAAGATATATGTGTTAAATGGTTTATTTTGTAAGACAACGCGATGTAAAAAATTTATATTTGCATCACGTCAATCAAGATTGATTTGTGCGATTTGAGTTGTACTCTGTTTCAATCTTTGAATATTTCAAAATCTTTTTTATGCATCAATAGGTTGTGGTACAATACGTAGGTACGTTCTGCCAGAAGGTAATGTCACAGTCTTGATATCGTTGTAGCAAGCTCTCGCTTCGCTATCTGACACGGTTGGATCAATCATCACGTCGTCTCCTTTCTAAAATATTGCGTGTATGTGTAACAATTTAATATCCATTTGTTTATCGATAAATTATCAATGATATATAATATACATAGAATATAACATGTTGCTCAAAAGTAATTACAAGCGAAAAAGATAAAATACAAAAAAAAACGATTTAATCTTGAAACCCACCTTCCAATCTACAGGAGTTGCTACTTTGTATTTCTCTGTAAGCTGAAGAGATTCAACTACCCTTATGATTTCGCTGTAAATCGAGGTATAAAATTTTGTTAGCAGTTTTGCACAGCATACACGAACGGAGCATAACATTCTAGCACTTACTCAAAATTTCGACCGGTAGTAGCCGGATATAAAATTGAAAGTCGCATTTTTTTAGCTGGATCGATTATAAACACAGCTCGTGCAGACATGGGCAATCCAGTCTGGCCATCTATCTCAGCGGGATCCAACATTCCCAATGATGTAGCAAGTTTCCTGGCTTGATCCTCTATTATCGGATAGGGAAACTCCTTATCTGTTATCTGACCGTAGCTCTTTATGTCCTGAAATGTTTGGTTCTTTGGCACAAATATGTCACACGCATAAAAATGTACTGAATCTAACATATTAAATGATTAAATGTCAATAAAAACTATTTGTACAAAAGCAAACCTCTATCCATTTGCGATGGGAGTCAACAGTATTACAGGACAAAGCGATCACTTTGACTCCCAATCTCTTAAATTCAGGTATTAGTTTTGCAACCCGTGCCAATTCAGTTGTGCAAACTGGTGTAAAGTCATTGGGATGAGAAAATAAAATGCCCCATCTGTCTCAGAGAAATGTATACAAATTACCATTCCATTCGCTCTCTTGACATGTTTGCATTTTCAACATCAACTAATTTCGAAAATAAATCTAGGACTTGCAGTTGTTGCAGATAAAATATATTAAGATCATGCTCAACAGAATTATGTAAGTCATTGGAAACATATGCGTGCTATATAAAAAATATTGCAAATTAAATGTCACAATTAACAAGGGGGTATGTGAATATTTATATACTTATATGTAATATTCTTCTATTCGCAGTATCTATGCGAATATTTTAATACGAGAGAGAGGCATATTAGCATTAAATTAATATATTTTTACAAGAATATTTTAATGGTGGTTTAGATTCAGGTTGCAAATAGATTACAAGATATCTTACGAATCACCCAGCCATTCGTGGAACTTGATCGTGCCCATCTGTGTGTCCGCTGTGAAATCCGGAAAAATTTCGCCTAATAAAACCATAGTGTTGTTTGGAATGTTGCTTTGCAATGATAAAAATTGGTCTTTTGTAACCTCTGTCGACAAAGGCGCGTTTGTCGAAAGCCGCTTTCTAGCCTGAATGAAAACATAACCTATTTTTTGTGGTTTATAGGTTAGAAATGACTCGGTTCGAGTCAATCTAGAAATTTCTATTTTCAATAATAACAATAGTAACTGTATGCGCCGGTTGACAGAAAGCGCAGTTGATATCTCGAATTTTAACATTGTCTAAAATGTTTTGTTGAAATAATTGTGAAATACATACATATTTCTAATATTAGGCCGATTTGCCCAACAAAAATCTTACTCGATAAAATTCACGTTGACTCTTAATCCTTTTACGTATTTTTAAAACAATTTTTGGTGCAAGCGTTTAATATTAATTTTGTCACAACAATAAGCAAAAATTATACATTGACATCGTAAAATATATATGACACAACGCTTTGTCGGTGAGATACATGTATAATCACAAGAATCACAATTATAATTCCATTACCCTTTAAATAAAAAAGTTGTATTAACTACATTAATTGAATGGATTAATACATACATTCATACAACATTAAACAATTTAATGTAATTGTGAATTAGGTGTAGAATGTAAATATCTGTAATAAGCATTGTCTGTGATAGGTGTGTGCATGATACAGAGTTACATTTCTGAGACCGAATAGTTGAGACCAATGAGCCTCCTTTTTGCAAGCAAAGAAGGTTGGATCATATCTCATTTGCAGTATGTCAATGAAATGTATGGAAAAGTCGTAAGAGACAATGGATTGTGTGCTTTAAGCTTTAACGAATTAATATTTGAGATTAATTCTCAGTATTTGAGACAAAATCAGGTAGCACAAACAGATCAGGACAGTAGTATACTGCATGGCAAAAGAAAAAGGAAACGTTTGCAACTTTTGCCACAAAAAGATTTGGAAAAAGTAGGTTTAAAAAGCTCGCAGTATTCACTTTATGTTTATATAGAATGTGTTCTTAAAATTATCCAAAGGATTGTAAGAATTTTTGCTTTATAATATTTCAAATAATTCTTGTGACAGGTTGATCATGTTAAACAAGCGTTCAATGTAATGATATCTGCCGCAAAAAACAAAGGACTTTTTGGCCGAAATATTTCTTTAGATAACAATCAAGTGGCACGCTTGGCATCAGAGAAATTTTATCAGGATACATACTGCCTCAAAGATGAGAACTTGTACGGATCTAATGATACGGACGATGCTATCATATCTGAGGCTCACAATAAGAAATATGTTTTTCCAAAAAAATGTACATTTTACTGCTATGATGTAAGAGATATGGAAAAGAAGATAGAACTGAATAATCAGTATGATTTTATACTACTAGATCCACCTTGGTGGAACAAATCAATCAGGAGGAAAAAGATCAAGTGCGCAGAAGCTAGGTGATTTTATACAATTCATTCTAAACTGGTGAAACTAATTTAGCATGCTTAAACAGACTATATATATATACTTTATACCACTCTAAATTTAATTTGTCTTTAATTTTACGAAAGGATGAGCATGTGGCTTTCTTTATTGTGAAAAATAATTCTACATTGTTACTTTCACAGTTACAAAATGATGTACAATGAGGAATTGGTCAAGATCCCAATAAAAAGACTATTACATTCAAATGGTATTCTGGCCATATGGTGCACTAATTCGTCCAACCATCTGAACAGCATCTTCAACGAAATCTTTCCTTCATGGGGTATTACTTATAGAGCCAAGTGGTACTGGATCAAGGTAAGTCTATTTCTTAATGTAATAAAATTCAACCCATTTTTATTCAATGCATTACAGCATTAAATAAAAAGTAAAGGTGACTTTACTTTTTATACTTTTACTACTTTAGGTGACACAAGCGGGAGATACAATATGTAATTTCAACTCGGCACCTGGAAAACAACCTTATGAATTACTGATATTAGGATCTGCACTGGACAAGGGCAGAGTGAATATTCCTGATGGCAAACTGATGATCAGTGTACCCAGTGCAGTGCATTCTCACAAACCACCTCTTACAGGTGTATATAAATGGAATGTGTATTATAATTCTGCGACACACACGTTTAGTAAAGTCACGATAAAAATTTGACTTAAATTTTTAGAAATCATAAAGGAATATCTCCCGAGTGAACCAAAGTGTTTAGAAATCTTTGCGAGATATTTATTGCCTGGATGGACGAGTTGGGGTTTGGAAATTTTAAAGTTTCAACATCTGTCACTTTACGAGATTCTGGATGAAAGTGGAAGAGCCGACGATATAAGGAACGAGAATGAGTGTGATGACTAACCGTGTGAAATGTAAGGAATAGACATTACGAATATGTAAGTTGTATCAGTAGACAATATTTAGAAAGAGACGACGCTTCAAGCGCTTTATTATAAATTATTTGCACAAGTTTTTCGCGATACAATTCAATTGTTACGATGTATCGTTGCGATTCAAATGTTGATTAACACCGTTCTTGAATGAAGTTCGATAACCGTGCGGATTCATTGTCTGCCACCTCCAGAAGTCTTGACCTACATTTATCATTTGTTTTAGATACATTTCAAGATTATTGCGACATGATTGCGAACTAAAGCGTTACTTACACATTTGTTCAACATTGTACTTCGCTGTCCACCCTAATTCTTTCTTCGCCAGATCCGTATTAGCATACATGGACATAATGTCGCCCTCTCTTCTTTCTTTTATAGCGTATGGCACTGTAGTACCGGTGACTTTCTCAAATGTTTTTATCAATTCCAATACAGTTACGCCGTTGCCGGTGCCCAAGTTGTAAATTTTAAGTCTGAGGTGCTGTTTGTGCAAAGCATTTAACGCCGCAACATGGCCAGCCGCCAGATCCATGACATGAATGTAATCGCGGACGCCTTTGTTGTTGTCAAGTGCAAAGAAGGTAACGTTATTGTAGACAGAAATCATTACCGATCCTACACATACGCAGTACTTAATATTGAACGTAATATTACCTGTTCCGTCAGTTGTAGGATAGTCGCCGCCAAATATGGTCAGTTCTGGCTTAAGCCTCAGAGCAACTTGAGCAATGTACGGCATTAAATTTGTAAATGGCTTCGTCGGATCTTCCCCGATTAATCCGCTGCAGTGAGCACCTACCGGGTTGAAATATCTTAGGGATATAACGTTCCAACTCTGTTAGACAAATAAAATTCTTCGTAAGAAAGAGATAGCAGGTGTGAAGTAGAGAATACATGTGATAAAATTTTCCTTCTGGAAAAGCAAAACTAACGATCAAGGATTGACTAATGTTTTTCCAGTGTATATTTGTGATAAATTACGAATATAGATATTGCAATACTTTTGTTTTAACTTTGTCCAATATAATTTATTGCATATCAAAATTTGCAGCATAAATCGCCGTAAATTCAACAATGTGTGTCACAGAGTGTCGCGCGGATGAAACATATTAATAGCAGATTTTTCCGATTTCTCAAAGCCTATGTATTCTACGTGCACATATGCATACGCGAACCTTTTCAGCTCTCGATATATCCTTGAGCATTTCTTCAATGAAATACTTTGTTCGGCCGTACACGTTGGTGATGTTGCCAGTTTCGTGTTCTTCCGTGATGGGCAATTCTGTGGGCTCGCCGTAAACCGTGCAGCTACTGCTGAATACAAGTTGAAAACAACCAGCCGCTTTCATCACCTGCAAATGAAGAGGAGACGCGTCGGATTGCGGAGATGACGAAAAGCGATTACCGTGTAATATATTCCTCTTACCTCTAGTAAATTGATGGCGCCTATTATGTTGTTTCGGTAATAATGAAGCGGAACTTGCATCGACTCACCGACGGCTTTAATCGCCGCGAAGTGTATCACGCAATCTATCTTGTGCTGAAAATGACAAATTAATTTTGTCGCAAAAAAAATTTGCTTGTCCAATTTTGTATCACGCATTGTGTAACGTACAACGGAATATGTAATATACAATAAACAAGGAACATCTTACCTCGTTGAAGACAGTTTCGAGTTTCTCTCTGTCGAGTAGATCGCAATTGTGAAACGTTACTTTCTTCCCCGTTATTTGTTCGACTCTTCTGAGCGCTGCGGATTTGCCGTCAGTTTCTGTTACGCTATTTGCAAAATTGTCAATAGCCACGACATCGTAGCCGCATTCCAGTAGCTCGACGATGCAGTGACTGCCGATGTAACCGGCGCCTCCAGTCACAAAAATGGTTCTCCAGTTTTCTGTCATCTTCCCGGCTTTTGATTTAAGTGGAATTTAATTTTCAACCGACGAATCTTTTCCACGAGATATATATTTTTTCAAAAATATTCATATAAAAAATATCATAAATCATATATATTTATGATATATCGACGCTGCACAAATGAATCTGTCGAAAACGCTTTCAACTCTCGAAGATATACGCGTTGAATTATCTGTAGGAATCTGTACGCCTGCAAACTGAAGAGTACAGGACATTCACCTTCGTTCAAGTGAGCAAAGAGAGTTCAAGGTCGTCGAAACACGTGGTAAATCATTGCAGTGAGAATGCGATGTATGCGCGCCTCGATAAAATTAAAAAAAGGGGGAAAAAGAATCGTTGCACGCGTACACAAGAGTATAAAAAAAAATACATTTGCATAAAATTTGGATTCAATTTCAAAAATCTTAACATTACAAATTTTTAATGCTTGAATCGAACAATACAAAGTGTTCACGCAAACATTCTATCAGTAAACAAGTTTGCATTTTAAACTGTATGATCACATATATACACATGTATGTCCGGAAATTTGTTTCTTCATTATATGCTTGCTGGCTAATTCTCGTAATACTTAACGGTATGTGAAACATGATCGCGCTAGACGCACCAATCCAGATATATTTTTAAATATACGATAAATATAATTCGACATATTCGTCATGTCTCGAAATTTATATCTGCAGAAAGTTACTTTTTTTGCGTACCGTTTCCTTCATGGCCATTGTTGAAATAAATTCAAAATTTACATTTTTATAAGACAAAATTGCACCTTAATTTACTCACACCCATTTACAACTTTTTCTCTCTTTCTTTCTTTTTCTCGCTCACTCACTCTCTTTCTCTCTTTCTTTCTGTGGACCTTGACTTTTAAATTGTGGAATTAAACGACGTCCTTGGGCCAATTTTTCAATCAGATTGTAAGAGATTGTTCGCGTTCAAGAAAAAACCTGTTCGAGTCACTCAAGTCCTTATCAATCAATGAGCAACTAACGCGTTGTTCTTGAGATTTTTTTTTAATTTTTCATCATCGGTGAATTTTACATGCATACATAATCGTCACTCTTTCACTCTACACGACTTTCTGCGAGAATATGGAGCGATACAATATGAAGAAAGATCATTACCTCGGGTCGAATATTAGATAATTCAGTGGAATGTAAGTCGATCCGAAAGATTCCAGAGCACTTTCGCACAACGACTGAGGCTGATCGAGACTCTGCCTTGAATACTAGTTGCAAAGGAACGGAGGACTTTAGTATACCGTGGGACGCGCGCGAGACATCCCCTCTTCCGCTGTCCTATGCTGGCGTGCACACACTATGCTCTTCCTTCTTTCAGCCTTAGGCATTCCGTTCCAAGCCTTTCGTTCTCATCCAGAGTTCTCCTCCTCCTTTCGTCGCAATACACATCGTTTTTTTTCCCCGCCGAGATTACAAGATGCGACGACGCTTCACCACCGACCCGCGCTGACCGCACTTGTTACGAAATTATTATTGGATTAGCAAAAGCGCGCTCTTCACCGTCGACATTTTTCAGTTGAGCAATCGTCGTTTAGCTACAAAAACCTGTTTCGAGACGACTAATAACGTAATCTGGTAAAAAAAAACGACTAGCCGAAAAAATCCTCCTCTCTCAAGGAATGCGCTCCGGTTTTCGATTTCGATGAATCGCGCATTCACGGCGCGACGGAAAATCGCACGGATAGTCTCTGTTGAATGAAAATTGAAGGAAAAACTATTTGTTTTGTCGCTGCGCTGTATATTTACCGCGTCGACGACACTTGTATTAATTTATGTAACAGTTCCTTTTGTTCCGTATCAAAGTAAGGATACAATTCGCTTTCGAGTTCCAATACCGCTTGATGATCGTGAGATTGACACGCTAATACCAGCGATTGCAGCAATAATAATTCATCCTCGCTCATATTGAGACCTGCGACAAAACAATTTAATATACTTTAAATATCGTATGTAGTATTTAAAGATAATACTTTAAATATACACATATATATGTTTACATTACGTATATTTATTACGTAAATATATCTTTGCAAAATTGTAAATCGATACATGTAGAAATAATTTTACCATTGTTCACATTTTCTTCCGCCCATGCATACTTTTCGAGAACTTGGGCGAGAGAAGGTGTCAGTCTCTGGGGTGACGGTTGAAGAATGAGGAGCAAAAGTACTCGTGTCACTTCACACCTTAAATATGTTATTGATTCTGTTATATATTTTTAAAAGTGTGTATTATAAAAGTATGTTGTGTCACAAAAGATTGTTATATAGCATGATACCTGTGTAGAATAGCATTGTAGTTTCCTCTGGCACCAGCCATAATACAAGCTTCTACAAATTCTACGAATTCATTAAGGATTTGTAGCGCAGCTACATAATCTCCTGGAAAAAATAAAATAATAATAAAATCTTGATTTTATACAGCTGTTGATACACAATTATAAAAAACTATTAATGTTAATACTCGGTCTAGTGTAAAACACAGACAACAATAAGACAGGTACTAACCTTGACTTATGTAGAAAGATACCAATGTATGGATAGCTTTAGATGTAGGAAAGATATCAACCGCTTTACGCAATTGTTGAATGCCAGCAGGACTCGATCCCAATGCTAGCGCCAGTTCTATCGATAAGCCTGCAGAGATTGTATTAAATCCTGGTTGGTTGCTGCATCTCACCATAGAATGACCAAAACAGCTCACAGCTGTCTGGAATGTACAAGAGATATTTTTTTAATTTCTGCCTTTTATTTTACTGTAAATTTATATTGTACAGTAGAACCTGTATGTTTTCACAGCCTATAGAGGGACATCCTATGTCATCATTTTTTTTCTCGGCTATAAGAAATTGCCTTCCTGCCTTTATTAAAAGATTTATTTCAGAAGAGGCATTTTCTAGTGTGCCTTGACATCTAGCAGCTGCCAACCAACACAAGCCTGTATATTGCCACAATTCCTTCTGCTCACATTCAGTAGCTAAGGCGCCTGAAAACAAACATCTCCACTATAATTTGTTTTTTAAAATAATTATTACATAGCCTATATCATTGTATTATTGCAGTATACTCACTAAATTGATCACTCGCCTCTGCAACGTTTGGCTTCCTCAGAAATCGTCTAGGTAAGATCAATGTGAAAGATGATTGTCACTGATAAAAGCTTCTAATTATAAAAACATTTTATTTTCCAATACAACTTACTTTTTTAGCTTATTCGAGATATTGTGAAACTTGGTTAAAAAGTCTACAGATTCTCCTATTCCATGGCTTTGATTGATATGGGCCATTTTTTAATTCACAATCTAAAATGTGAACGAATAAATGTTACATTTATTCATTCAACTTGCATATCATACAATGTCAAAATTATGGATCAATTATACGAAGGTAATTATATTTTCTGTAATTCTACAATGGCAAATGTATACACAACATGAACAATCATGTAATCACAACAGTATTAAACAATAAACATAAATTTACGTCTGTAAACATACATAAGTACAATGCGCATATCTATTCTATCCAAAAAGTAAGCCGAAAATTGGCACTTTATGACTGAGAGATACAATTATTTGTAAGTCAATATCTCACTCTATTTTATAATAAAATAATCTTTTAGCTTTAACAGGCATTGCGATCATCAAATGTCATTTTGCTGCAGGTTAAGGTACAATTTCATGCAGCGAAGCTTTGCTGGCGAAGTTCCCTCACTCCGCCGATTTGTGTGAAAATGTGTAATCAGCGAAGGAACGCTCATAGTTCGACATTGCCCAACTATCAGCGAAGCAACGCAGCGAAACAAACGAAAAACACCTGCTCTGTTCTGTGACGCTACACATGTGACCGAAGACGATCGAGTAATTATACAATATCGCTATCTCACCTCCGATTTTGATCCAATTAGGTTTATTCGACGCGTTTTTGTGTGAAATAAAACTTTTCTATCTGAAAAAAGTGTCGCTCTGTCCCGCGAAGCGAAATATTAATCATTAAAAGTTGACCACTTTTCAGGTTACGAAACCTGTCATACCGACGAAATATAGCGACATGGGCATGCGCTGCGGTCAGGCGCGCGTGCTCTCTTAATCCAAGGTTAGGTAGGTTAGGTTAGGTTAGGGCTTTTTCGTGGCGGTAGGGGTGGTGCAGGGAGAGGGGCTCCGCTTACGTGTAAAAGTTGAATTTTATGACAACGCATGCGCGCGTGACTGCAGCGCATGCTCATGACGCTATATTTCGTTGCTATAACAGGTTTTGTAATTTGAAAAGTGGTCAACTTTAACGATTAATATTTCGCTTCGCGAGACAGAGCGACACTTTTTTCTGCCAGATTCTTTCATTTCACGGAAAAACGCGTCGAATGAGCATAAATTTTTCAAAATTGGAGGTGAGGTAACGATTCTGTATAATTACTAATTACAGTAATGCTACATGTAACTAATCCCTGAATGACATTATTATTATTATTATTGTTGTTGTTATTATTGTTATTGTTATTACTATTGTTGTTATTGTTATTGTTATTGTTATTGTTATTGTTATTGTTATTGTTATGTGTAGAGAACGGAGATATAGCAACAGCTTGATGGCTGATGGTACAGAAGCCGTCGTCGTCACGAATACGCCACGTGCAGTAAATTTTGCTGTAAATTTACAGCACAATGAGCCGATCCAATGCGAAGAAGGTAGTTATAGAACAACAGCTGATCGATGAAGTTTTTCGACGATCTGGATTGTGGAACTACAATCTACCTAGGGTTAAACGCAGGCCGCAAGTAAGGATAAAGCTCTGGAAAGAAGTGTTTGCAGCTCTGGACGGTAATATTGTTATTTTGTAATTGGAAAATTCATGAAACAATTAAGATAATTAATTCAATGCTCTGTTCATTCTCTTACCAGGCAAAAGTATTGCAACCAATGTAGCATTGACCAATATTGAAACTATTAAGCGCTCAATACTTGTTGTATATTGAACAATTCTACATTCGTCTCGTGAAGGGTTTTTCCATAAGGTTATTTTATGCTCTAAAGACAATTGCAATTGAGTCAAGTCTATTTGAGTTGAGTGAAAAAATACTGATTTATCGAATTATGTATTTCTGTCTTTTTTTTAGGAAGATTTTCCATCAATTTGATAAAAAAGAAGTGGAAGTTGCTGTACAATTCTTTTCAGTTTTATTTGAAAAAGGATCAGCAAGCGGCGAGTGGAAAAAAACTGTGGGTACATTTCCAATGTATGCAGTTTTTGCGTGATCTGCTAGAGAGCAAGTATGCATATATAATAATAATGATAATAATAATAATTATCATTATATACGTGTGTATGTAATCAAATTTTCTTTTCAGAAATTACAGAAATATTGAGCTGCCGAAATTTTCTGATTCGCATTCGGATTTATCGGAGATGGCCAGCCCGCTTTACGACAGCAGCACTGATCATGGATCACGTATGTTCATTTCAATAAAATTTATTTGAAGGGTATATTTTTCATGTTAAATAAAACACAAAGTCTTTTGTAAAAAACGTATGAACATTGCAAATGGAAAATTAATTTGATATCATTAATAACATTTTAGCTCGATCGGTCGAACATTTTATCGACTGAAGTGGAGTCGAACCGCATTCAAAATAGAAAATTGATGTAATTTTGCTTGCCCCAGCGAGAAGTGACCTATCAATCGACATCAAATCGATGTCTAATTGACGTCAAAATCATCGATATTACATCGTATTATGTATATTGATGTCGATTCGACATCAATTCAATGAGTCATTTCTCGCTGGGGTATTAAATAGTAATGACTATTTTACTATTCTGGTATGTCTTACTTAACATGAGAATATGGTATTGTTAAATATTTGCTTGTAGAACAATTTGAAAAGCAATAGAAAATAATTGCACCTCTTATTTTTGAAATTTCATCTATCTTACTATTATTATGTGTCCGGTACCTGTTACTTTCTTTTTACTTTTATGGAAATACTATCAACAAGAACTTACAATGCAGGATGTGAATATTTTTATAGGAATTAGTAAGCGTCGCATGACCGAAGACACCCTAGATCGGACACCCGTTGCCGATCCCCTGGATCGGACACCCGTTGTCGATCCCCTGGCTCTTCCAGTGTTCTTTAATACAAACCAATTAGAGAGAATTTCACCTTGTCCACAGATTGCTCCACAAGCTGCATATGATAAACCTGCATTAATTGGCAATTTGGTAACTGCCCTACTTCGTGACGTAGACCCGGAATTGCTGGACGAAGTGATGCTGGACATTTTAAAAGTAACTAATGCAAAAAAAAGGAAGATATAAGAGGATCAAAAATATTTTCCTCCGTTTCCCTGTCGCTGCTCTTACTGTACCTGTGATAGAAATGTTGGATAAATTACCGAAAAGCTATCAAATCGGAGGTGATAGCCTTTCGGAAGTCCACCCAAAATGTTTTTTAATAATGAAATAAAAATAACATTTTCATTGGAAATATTGTTCATTTTTAAATTGAATGATCATATTGCTATGGCACCGCTCCTTCATTATTAAAATAGCAACAAAATTTGTTGCGAATGTTTATGCATTTTCGGGCACTCATGTTAGAGCCACAGTTTATAATATCCTTGAACGCGCAGCCGTCTTCCATAACCATAAAGGCCAATGTCCACGATGCTAGAAATCGGTCCGAGTCACGGTGTAAGAATATAAGGTGATTTCACGACCATTGTATTCTATCAAAAAATCTGTGATCAAGATGTCATAGTTAAGGCATATCACACAAGATGTCACGTTGGTGCAAGATCCCAAGTAAAAAAGAATAGAAGATGTGGATAGATGTGGATAGAAAAGGATTGATGATGAATCTCTAAAGCACATCTATATACAGGGTGTCCCATTATAAAACATTCACGCAAATTACTCCGAAGATAAGGGTGATAGCAAAAAATGACCTTAACAAACGTTGTAGGATTAAAAGGGGGCCAACTGAGGGTGACCTTAACTTTGACCTTGAAGTCAATTTTCAAGGTTATTTGAAGGTCAGAGTTATTTTTAAAATGGAAACCCCTATTTTTGATTTCGTAATAACTTCGTATAGCATACA